ACATTTTCATATACACACTTATGGTTTATACTACAAACATAGATAATGTGGGAATTAGAGTCGTTTCTATGTTCTTCCCAGTGTTTGATTAAATGAGAAGCTGGAATTATACTCAAACGTGAACTTTCCTTTGTGTTTAGGTTGGTGTTTGCTCGTCAAGTAGGCTAATCGTTGTCTGAGTTAGCATTGGACTGCTAAAAATGGAAACTGATCCTCCTGGCTCTTCATCTCAATCTCCAGCTATACTAATGGAGGAAGATTTATCCATTCCTCATAATTCTGAACCTTCTGGAAACGTTAAGGCCGTTGAAGAAGATCCTGTGAGCTCTGCAGGAGAAACCTCTAAAGACTCCATTAGTACAGAAACTTCAACTGCAAAGGTTGATGATACGCAGTTGCCTGCTACATCTACGGGTGCTGAACCTTTGCGTAAAACTGAGGATATAGTTCCATGCCCGCCAGATTCCTCCCCACGTGATTCACCGCCGTCTATATTTTCTTCTTCTGGTCTTTCTTCTTGGGCCAAAAGTTTTAAATTCCCGCAGCAAGATCCAAACGGTGCAGATTCTGGGATGTCAGCTTTCACAAGATTCACCTCTGAACTCGGTCTGCATTTGCCAACGAAAGCGTCAGATGAGGTCAGTGGCCCCAAATCACCAAACACACAAGTTGGTGGCGCTCTTGAGTCGCTCACAAAAGCTGTGGTCGATTCATCTCGTGGTGCCGTAAAAGCAATGCAGGTGAAAGCTCGCCACATTGTCTCTCAGAATAAAAGAAGATACCAGGTTTAGTAATTTTGTCTTCCTGCTTTTGTTAGATTCTTGAAACTGTAGTGGCGCACATTATAGTCACAACAGCTTGTTGTACTAACATTGTTCCTTTGTAGGAGCTGGCCCAAAATGTTTTCCCAAAACTATTAGTTACATTTTTATAGGAGCTTTTCATGCTATCTAGTGTAATGCATTGACTAGATTCTAGTATATGTAAGTGGCTGGATCAGTATCACTTACTTCTCTGGTTTACATGGCACATGGTCCAATATTTAGGAGGGGGAGTTCGATTTGGACATGACATATATAACTGAGAACATAATCGCAATGGGGTTTCCAGCTGGTGATATAAGCTCTGGTCTTTTCGGATTTTTCGAGGTAAATAGCTTGTCCTGGTCTGAAATATAAGTTCCCCAGCCATTTCTTTTCTTCTCCCGGCCTTGAGTTTCTCATTGAAAAATGTCATATTCAGGGACTATATCGCAATCACATGGAAGAGGTGATCAAGTTTTTTGAAACTCATCACAAGGTAATCATTGACACAGACTGGAAGCCTCTTAAACCGTCTGAGTTTCTTAAAGCTCCACCAATTCGTATATGATTTATACCAGTTGGATTTGATTAGACACTGCAGCCCAGACATGTAGTGGTTACTTGGCTTATGTTTGATCATGTCGGTACATACCAGATCTCTAAACCTTGTTCCAAATATACAGGACAAATATAAGGTCTACAACCTTTGTTCAGAGAGATTGTATGATGCTTCAAAATTTGAGGGGAAGGTATATTACAAACTCTACTCGCTTGCCATCTCAGACCATATATCTTGCAGGCAGTTTCTGTCGTTGCCGTGTTTTCAAAGCTAGTGTTTATAGCGTTTGCTTCATAACTTCTCTGATTCCTTTCTTCCAGGTTGCATCTTTCCCATTTGACGACCATAATTGTCCTCCAATTCAATTAATACCCTCATTTTGTCAAAGTGCATACACATGGTTGAAGGAAGACATCCAAAATGTAGTGGTAGTTCATTGTAAAGCCGGAATGGCAAGAACCGGATTAATGATTTGCTGTCTTCTTCTATATCTCAAGGTGAGACTTAAATGAAGCAAATTTTTTGCCGATGCACGCATTCCTTCTCACCAAAACTCGTGCGTCTTATCTGCTTTGGTAACTCCATTGCAGTTCTTCCCTACAGCTGAGGAGGCTATTGATTACTATAACCAAAAGAGATCTCTCAATGGGAAAGCTCTCGTTCTACCCAGTCAGATTGTAAGTCCTGAGCTCATGCCAATCTTTTTATGAGCTTGTTCAATTCTCCCTCATCCTACTAAACGTGCTTTCCTGTTTCCTTCAGCGATATGTCAAGTACTATGAACGTGTTCAGAATCAGTTTGACGGGAAAATTCCACCCGAACGAAGGTATGCGTCAGTCATATCTTACCAATCAGCTAGTTTGATCATAGTGATATTTGTATATCCCTAACCAGCGACCAAACAATTATGTAGATGCATGCTCAGAGGGTTTCGCCTAATCAACTGTCCTTATTGGATTAGACCTGCTATTACCATCTCCAACCACAATGGTACATAGCTAGTTTCTTCTTATCTTTGTATTTTCGTATATGTTTGTAATATGCTCTGCATTCTTCTATCGAACAGATGTACTTTTCTCAACAAAGAAACATCAGAAAACCAAGGATTTGGGGGTAGGCATTGTTCTACTTGGTTCT